GAATCGAGTCAATTAGTAATGCAAGTTGTGTACAGAGAGGTACACCATATACTCAAACTCCCTTTAGTAGTCCCAAGTTTCCGAATAAATTAGACTCGATGCCGATCCATTATTACGAAGTTTGTATGCAAGTTATTATAGTATATATGTTACGTATAACTGAAGATGGTAACTCGTACATTTTGTAAATTTATTGTATAACACGAAAAAGAAAGCAAACATAAACAATAGAGAAATAAGAAATATAATGTCGTGACGTTGGGGACGAACCTTTTCAAAAGCCGCCCATTAGGGCTTCGGCAGCCGGCCCAGCAATCATATTGCAGACAATTCCAACCGTGAGAGTCATCAGAATGGTAAACATTCTTTTTCCCATACTCGGACTCGACTGTTGACCCTGACCTTGATTTGTATATCCGTGGTGATTGTAATTATAAGGCTGGTAATACTGAGAATGGTGAAACTGCGGTTGCGACCTGAAACCCCTTTGCTGAGTTGCCGGCCCTGCTGCTGCAGATGTAGTAACGCATTCCATGTGAACATCTAACCTGCATAGACCGCACTTGTACCGCCATGACCGGATTGTACCGCGGCAAACCTGGCACGTGTTGCTAGCTCCCCAGTTGCTCAGCTCTAAGTCATGGGCCGGGTGAGGCACGTGCCTCACGTGCTGAGGTAGCCGCGTGCAGAGTGGGTGGACGTCAAAGCCGCAAGGCTCGCAATGGTAATAGAGCCCCTCGACTGATTCGTCACAAATGTCACACAGACGTCTGTTCCGTTGCGTCTGCTCTGGTCCTCTAAAGAATAGCCGGAGCGGGTGCTGTGGATGCATAAAGCTGAGGAGGGTAGGGGGACACGTGGCACAGTGATCATGAAGATCGTAGTTGCACGAGACGCAACGGTAGGTCTTCCCAAAGCCGTAGGTTTTGCAGCCATTACATATGAACTCGCCAAATCCGTCAACCTTGGTTAATGGATGGACATGGGTGAAATGTTGGACTAGCCTGGACGAAGACATCTCGTTGGTTTGATTTTGGTTTTTTTTTTTAAACGGTTCGGATTATAGAGAATTTTATAGACCATTCACAAGCATTGTTTGGGAAACAAGCAAGAACTTTCGATTACTTGTGGTTACAAAATATAAACTTTTGTTAGACCGTTTCAAAATAAATAATAACTTTTCTTCACTTGTGATTACAAAAATATAAACTTAACTCAGTCGTTAGAAACACATACAACATGATAGAGCAGTTTAGTTGACTTTGGCTAGTTTTTTTTTTTTTTAGCAAAAAAGACTTTGGCTAGTTGACTGACCGTGTATGCCTATATGGTCATTTGTGGCCTCTTTTCTGAGAAACTGTTTATTTCTTTATTCATCGAGGACTGAGTTTCTCCATGGTTTTTCGGGAGTAAATTACTGTTGTGATGTTTATCTATTTTTTTATACCGTAAGATGCACTCAATATTGCAATTAAAATATTATTTGCCGCCTATTGGGTAGTCATTGTGGATTAAATTAGGTGCAAACTGAGCTTTAGGCTAGTATCCTTGAGGATTAAAGCCTTGTTGTTGCCCCTCAGGATAGTCTTGTATGGTCTAGCATG